TGATGAAACTGATAAATAGGTTTTATGTGGACAACATTCCAATAAGAGTGTTCAAAAACAACACAAAAGGCACAAACTACCCATCTAAACCCATGCAAGTCGTGAGCAGTTTGTGGAACGGTGAGGAATGGGCAACCGAAGGTGGTAAGGCCAAGATCAATTGGACCAATGCTCCATTTAAAGCTCATTTTCAAGGCTTTTCTGAATCTGGTTGTCATGGAGATAGTCCTCATATTTGTGGATCATCAATATATTGGTGGAATAACGGAAGGTATGTTGGCTTAAGCGTATCCGATCGGAAGTCTTACGAAAATGCAAGAGTCAAATGCATGAATTACGTCTATTGTTCTGATCAGACTAGATTTTCTGTTCGTCCCGAAGAATGTCAATGGAATCAGTGACATATATTTCAAAAATTATTTTGTTTGTAACATTGGATTTTATTTTGCAGTGTGCAATTTGGAAATCTCTTGAAACTAACCACATTTACCATTAGCATCAAAATGAGATCAATTACAAAGAATCAAAATAGCAAATTGAACAATATATGTGCCAGTGAATAAGATCTTACTAATTAAATAGCATGCAATTTTATTTTTAATATTATATTCAATATAGATTTTTTTTTGGATCAACTTAATACATAACAGATAATTGGAGCAAATAAGGTTAAACACAAATATATCACAATACTTAGTCCATAGTACTGTATAGACATGGTAATTATTGTAATACCAAAAATAACCTCAAAAGTAAAGCAAGATTGATGCAATCATCTCGAAATATAATAAATTGAAATTATTCTAAAACATAAGAGCAGTAACAAACAAACAAAAATAAAATAATGTAGATTATTATCTGCAGGTTAATTAACAAAATTTATTTTATATATATAACAAACACAAAAATATTTATAAGAAATACAAAACACAATCAAACAAATCTATTGGCTGTATATGTTCTAGACAAGATAATATAAAACCGAAATATTATTTACACCAAAGAGTTGTAGTTTATTTTAATTTTTGAGATTGTGAAAAAAGTGAAAGCCGAATGTATAAGCCATGACTCATTTACCAAACAGTAGATTCCATACTCCATGTCACCGTTAGTCTACAAAGCATGTGTTTCACTATCATTTTGGTTTTCCTGACTTATTCGTTTTCCTAGGACTATACACAATTTGTCTTCTCCTTACCTTTTTCCCGTTTTGTCGTATGATAATAAATGTTTGATGCAACTTGCAAAAATATTTAGTAACTTGTTAGGTGAGTTTTCAACTTTTTTAACTATTGATTATCGGTTAAGTATTCTCACAACAATGAGTTTTATTTAACCGTTATTATTGATGCAGCTAGCTATGTGATACAAATAAATTTGGTTTTTTGAATCAAGCTAGGGCGATTTTTCATTTGTTAAAAGAATGAATAAGCCAAGTTTAATGATAATGGAAAATCATCTTTTGCTACATTAATCACTTTTAAGTTGCTTATAAGATCAAGGGAGTTTCTTCAGACATAGGCCACTATTAGTGTTTCGTTATAAACCTTCGATTTTTTTTAAAAGAAACATTTTAATTTTTAACATATGTAGACACTATTTTTTTACCTCAAATAGATACAAATTTAAAATATCATCATAATATAACACAAACGATATTTGAAGATTACTGATAACTTTATTGTAAACATAAGATCCATAAGACATTGTGAAAGAGAGTTACTAGAAACATATATGTGGTAGAAACAACAACCACGAAGATTATAACAAACGAAGGAGTAGTAGTGTCTAAACATAAATAGATTTTTTTTTCTCTTTATTATTCTACTAAGGCAAAGATATAAAGCTTAAGCATCACCGATTGGCTTGACATAAACACCAATTTGGTTAACACAAGTGGAATACATTCCATAGAACCCAACAATCTTGTGACCTTCCTCCGTTAACTTGATCGGTGTGCCCACATACTCATAACCTGGTTTAATATCCAACACTTTATATGTTGTAATGTTTGTCTTGAAGTTAAGCATTGTCATAGACTCGTATCCAAATGCTTTCATCGTAGTACGATCGGGTCCAGGAGGTGGCAACCTTTGACCATAGTGTCCTTCAACGGATGTGATGTATTCATCAACCTTGAGCCTGAACTACAAAACAGAAAGAAAACAAAATTATGCATATATGATATATGTAACGTTAGTGGGTTTATTTAATTCGAGAATAGAGCAGAAACCTCTTTTTTCTGGTCATCACTGGGGCTGTACCCGTGCTTGTCTCCGACTACAGTATTCGTTCCTAAGGCGTATTCAAACTTGACGGTGTTCACACCTGAGCCATCGTATGTTACTGTTATCATACGAACATTGTCGTTTACCCCATCATCCCAATCATACCCAAAGCCCCCGCCTTGTGCTTTCAGTTTCTTGGCCGGAGGAGCTAGCCTCGTTCCATAGTTAACACCACTGATACAACCGTAAGGTTCTTTACCTTTTGACGACACTGTTTCTTCTTTCTGAAAGATTCAAACTAATTATGTTGTTATAATTAAGAGCAAATTCAAGAACGAGAAA